TATAAATCTGTAGCGGAAGGAAAGTGGGGTAGGGGTTTTCCCCGAAAAGGTTGGAGGGATGGGGTAAAGGAGGTTTTGTGGGCGAGGGGCTTGGACTTCCAGCAAGTGAGTGTGAGCATGTTAGATAGGAGTGAATGAAGACGAATGGATTTTGGGACCTGATGAGCTGTTGCGGTGTGAGCAGGGTAATATTTTGTGAAGGGATTCAGAGAAAGTGGTTAGCTGGACTTGAGTCCTGGAAATAGGAAGTACAATGTCTGCACTTTAAAGGAGGGCTTTGGGATATTGGCAGTTTGGAGGGACATCTAAGCTCTCGTATCTAGTTCAAGTGTTGAAGAAGGAGATTCTACTTCTTGAGGAGGAAAATAGGAGGCTGAAGCTTCGCATAGATGAGTTTGGGAGCTAGTGTGAGAAGGATTTAGCTGGTAAGGAAGGAATGGTCACCAGCAGTGATAGTGGCAGCTACTTTAAGTGGCAAGTGGTTCACAGTTCAGGAAGAAGGAAGATGAGGAGAGTTAAAAGAGAAAATGTGAAGGTAAGAAATCGATCCTCTGTTCTCCAAGACGAGTGTACTTCAGTGGCTAGTAAGGATGAAGGTACCACTGATTCCCCTGCTAATCAAGGTAAGAATATTTTAATAGTAGGCAATTCTCAGGTAAGATATATGGACCGTGCATATTGTAACAGAGGCAGAAAGGTCAGACAGAGTGTGCGCCTTCCTGGAGCTGGTGTTGGTGACATAGTCAGCAGGTTGGATAATATTATGGCAGGTAATGGGAACAAGCCCATTATCTGTCTTAGTGCTGGGGGTAATGACATTGGGAAGAGCAGGAGAGAGGTGCTGCTGGATAAGTACAGGTCAGCCATAGAAGTAGTTAGGTCTAAGGGAAGGATCCCAGTCATATGTAGCATCTTGCCTAGAAAGGAAGTGGGCAATGAATGGATGTCTAGGACAATTGGTATAAATTGCTGGCTAGACAGGTACTGCAAGGAACTTGAAATCCCATTCATGATAACTGGGACCTATTCTTTGGCAAATGTGATATGTATGCAAGGGATGGGGTTCATCTCTCTGCGGATGGAGTGGTTGCATTAGCCAATTCAATTGAGAGGGTAATTGATGACTTGTCTAGGAATTTAAACTGACAGATTATAGAGGTATGGGTGTTTGTGGGAAACAATCAGGCTGCAGCATTAGGGTTAAAAACAGCAGTTATTACCGGGATACCTCAGGGATATGTTTAAAAGACAATATTCAAAATAAAGTTGCTAGCAATGGCAAATCAACTGATCAACAAACAAAGAGAGATAGTAGGGGGCAACGAGTGACTAGTTCCCTTAAGGTTTACTATACAAATAGTAGGGGTCTAAGAAATAAGATAGATGAGCTAAGATTACTTGCAAGTGTAGGTAATATAGATATTATTGGTATAACAGAGACCTGGTTCAACCTGAAAGATAGAGAAATGCCTTCTGAATGCAACATACAGGGTTATAAACTATTCCACACTGATAGGGTGGTGGAGTGGCGATGTATGTCAGAGAAAATTTAAACTGTTGTCTTAATCTTATATTAGACATGATATATGATTAGAAACATCGAATGCTGAATCTGTTTGGCTACAGTTTCTCGATGGACGTGACAAATTAATTTTGGGTGTGATTTATAGGCCCCCAAACCTTGATAGGGAGTGCAGTAAGCTGTTATGGGACGAAATTCATAAGGCATCTAGATATGAAAATGCTGTGATAATGGGAGATTTTAACTTTAGACAAATTGATTGGAACAATATGACAGGAAATCTTGAGTCTAGTGACTTTCTTGATACGGTTCTGGATTGCTTTTTAGAACAGGTTGTGACAGAACCAACTAGAGGAAACAGTCTGCTTGACTTGGTTCTTGCCAACAAAGATTCACTAATTAATAATCTTGAGGTAAATGATGAGCTTGGGGAAAGTGATCACAAATCACTTAGTTTCAATATATCATGGAATTACCAAGATAACTGCAATCAAATCTCTGTCCAAGATTTTCGCTTGGCCGACTTCATGGGACTGAAAAATTACCTGGGTGGGCTAAATTGGGATGTCCTGACTATGGGTTAGGTAGGTGATCTTGGTTGCCAATATGACATTTTTCAGAGCATAGTTCTAGCTGCCCAGACAACTTTTGTTCCGAGTAGGGAAATTAGATCTAACAAAAATGATCCTGAATGGATGACCAATAGATTAAAACATCTCACTGGTCAAAAGAGAGGCATATATAGGCATATCAAAAGAGGGGATCGGTAGTTAAGAAATCAATATATTCAATTAGAGAGGGAAATACAGAAAGGAATAAGGAAAGCAAAAAGGGATTATGAGGCTAAGGTTGCAAGGGCTTCAAAGACTAACCCAAAAGGGTTCTTTCAGGTATACAGAAGTAAGATTAGGGACAAGATTGGCCCACTTAAGAGTAACTCGGTCAGATCACTGACAGTGATAAGGATATGTGTGAAATTCTCAATACCTTCTTCCTCTCAGTTTTCACCCAGGAAAATACTAGCGATATTCCTGAAATAATAGATTATATAGAACAGGACAATAAACTATGTACAATTGCGGTAACTGGAGACATGGTCCTCAGACAAATAGAGAAACTAAAACCTAACAAATCCCCAGGCCCTGATGAACTGTTTGCAAGGGTGTTAAAGGAATGTAAAGAGGAACTTAGCATACCTTTGGCTAATCTTTTTAACATATCACTACAAACTGGCATTGTGCCTGATAAGTGGAAAATAGCAAATGTAATACCTATTTACTAGGCAGGTGACAGGTCTTTGACTTCGAACTATAGACCAATAAGCCTTACCTCCATAGTGGGAAAATTTATGGAATCAATAATTGCCGAATCAATTCGTAGCCATCTTGATAGGTACAGATTGATTAATGAATCTCAACATGGTTTTACAAAGGGGCGTTCCTGTCTTACGAATTTACTAAATTTTTTCACTAAGGTGTTTGAGGAGGTAGATCATGGTAATGAATATGATATTGTGTATATTGACTTCTGTAAGGCCTTCGATCGAGTTCCACTCCAGAGGCTATTGAGGAAACTTAAGGCACACAGAATAGGAGGAGAAATTTTTTCCTGGGTAGAGGCATGGCTGACAAATAGACAGCAGAAAGTTTGCATAAATGGGGAGAAATCAGAATGGGGGCACGTCACAAGCGGTGTTCCTTAGGGGTCAGTGTTGGGCCCACTGTTGTTCACAATTTACATAAACGACATAGATGAGGGAATAAATAGCAACCTAAGCAAATTTGCTGATGACACCAAAATAGGCCGTCAAATTCATTCTAATGAGGACAGTAGAGCACTCCAGAATGATTTGAATAGACTGATGCAATGGTCAGAGAAGTGGCAGATGCAGTTTAATATTGACAAATGCAAAGTTCTAAATGTTGGACAGTTAAATAACCATGCCACATATAAACTAAATAATGTAGATCCTAATACTACTGATTGCGAAAAGGATTTAGGAGTTCTGGTTAGCAGTAATCTAAAACCAAGACAACAGTGCATTAGTGTTCGCAATAAAGCTAACAGAATTCTTGGCTTCATATCTAGAAGTATAAATAATAGAAGTCCTCAGGTTGTTCTTCAACTCTATATATCCTTGGTTAGGCCTCATTTAGACTATGCTGCTCAGTTCTGGTCACCGTATTACAGAATGGATATAAATGCTCTGGAAAACGTACAGAGGAGGATGACAAAGATGATCCCATGTATCAGAAATCTTCCCCATGAGGATAGACTGAGGGCCCTGAATCTGCACTCTCTAGAAAGGCGTAGAATTAGGGGGGATATGATCGAGGTGTATAAATGAAAAAACAGGAATAAATAAAGGGGATGTAAATAGCGTGCTGAAAATTTCCAACCAAGAGAGGACTCGTAGCAATGGTTTCAAGTTGGAAAAATTCAGATTCAGGAAGGATACAGGAAAGCACTGGTTTGGTAATAGAGTTGTGGATGAGTGGAACAGACTCCTGAGTACAGTTATTGAGGCTAAAACATTGTGTAGTTTTAGAAATAGGTTGGATAAATACATGAGTGGGTGTGGGTGGGTGTGAGTTGGACCTGACTAGCTTCTGCTGCTGGGTCTGGTGCCGTGCTCCTTCCTTGAGTGGAGGTGACCCAACTGGGTGGGTTATTGGGCTAATCCGGGAAGGGGGGATGGACTTGCTCCGCATGGGTCAGTAGGCCTGTTGCAGTGTTCCTTCTTTCTCATGTTCTTATGACAGTGATTATGTATGAGTGATGGTCAAAGTGTTGAATGATGATGAAAGTTTTCTCTTTGTTTTGAGGTTTTCTTTATTTTTGGGTCGCCCTGCCTCGGTAGGAAACGGATGTTAAAAAAAAAAATGAATTTGAGACTGGAAAGTGTTAGTAAGAGATATGACAGAAGAATAGCAAATACAGTGGACCCCCGGTTAACGAACTTTTTTCATTCCAGTAGTATGTTCAGGTGCCAGTACTGACCGAATTTTTTCCCATAAGGAATATTGTGAAGTAGATTAGTCCATTTCAGACCCCCAAACATACACGTGCAAACGCACTTACATAAATACACTTACATAATTGGTCGCATTTGGAGGTGATCGTTAAGCGGGGGTCCACTGTACAGTGAAACCCCGGGATTTGGCCGCCCTGAGAATCAGCCGCTTCGGGCTTCGACCGCTTTTTTGACCAAATTTTATCCTGCGTTTCGGCCATTGCCCCAGGTTTTGGCTGACGTACAAGACCTGTCCACCCACCCGCACTTGCGCACCTGCTTGCACAGGCATCATGAGCCAGTCTAGCGTTGTTTATCCTTGAGTGAACATTACCCTGCGCTCTCATCCTGCCAGCCATTCAGCCATCCAGCCAGTTAGGCAGTCATCCAGGCAGCCAGCCATTCAACCAGACAGCCATCCATCCAGCCAGCCAGCCATTAATTGTGACTGTGAAATAAGCCACGATGGGCCCTGTGGTAAAGAAATTAAGGAACACCATAGCAGTGAAGAAGGAGATAGTAGAAAAATACAAGAGTGGTGTTTGTGTGGGGGAGCTTGCCAGGATGCACAGCAAAAACAAATCAACTATCACTTCTATACTGGCAAAGAGAAAAGAACTCAAGGAAGCTGATGTTGCAAAAGGTGTTGTCACATTATCCAAAAATAGATCACAAACAGTCAAAGAGGTTGAGAAGTTGTTGGTGGTGCATATCAACAATAAACAGTTAGCGGGTGATAGTGTTTCAGAGTCAATCATTTGTGAGAAGGCAAGGCAGTTGCTTGCTGATCTTATAAAGAAAATGTCCAGAACCAGTGCTGATGTTAGTGAATTTAAGGCCAGCAGAGGCTGGTTTGACAGATTTAAGAAGCATAGTGACATACATAGTGTAGTAAGGCATGGTGAGGCAGCAAGTTCAGACAAACGTGCGGCTGAAAACTTTGAGAGTGAATTTAACCCCTAAACGGTCCAAACGTATATATACGTTCTTACGCATAGTGCCCCAAATGTATATATACGTGCCTCCAAATTTGGCACGATTGACCTGAGATGCCTAGTTCGCATAGAATGGGTCTTAACCCTTAAACGGTCCAAGCGTATATATACATTCGCTCACTCAGCGCCCCGAATATTTTGATAAATTTTTTTTTTTTTTTTTATAGAAAAAAGAGCACATTTTTTAAAGTATTTTAGAAAAAAAAAAATTTAGGGTCAGTACTTACTGAGATATGAGGCCAAGAAGTTGGCACTGAATGCTCATGTGACAGCAACATTGAGTCCTGCCGCTTGCAGAAGTGTTGCCGATATACCTTTTTTTCTATTTTTCATATTATTTTAAGTAATTTTTATGTTCTGATAATTACAATTTGTAGTAGTTCTTGTCATTTTATAACCAATCTTTGTTCTGACATTAGTATTAGGTACTGAAATTGTACTTAAATTGTCACAAACACACTGACAGGTGGACATTTACACCTGCCTTGGTCATTTACTGTTGTCTTGGAATATATACAAAGTATTTATATGTCCCAGCAATGTTTTGGATATGTGGAAGTATATAATAACAATTTATTTATTTATTAATTTGAACATGATACAGAGAAGTACAAGGAATACAATGGAGGAGGAAGAAGAGGAAGAAGAAGAGGAGGAGGAGGAGGAGGGGGAGGAGGAGGAGGAAGAGGAAGAGGAAGAGGAAGAGGAAGAGGAAGAGGAGAGGAAAAGGGGGGAGGAGGAGGAGGAGGAGGAAGAGGAGGAGGAGGAGGAGGAGGAGGAGGAAGAGGAGGAAGAGGAGGAGGAGGAGGAGGAGGAGGAGGAGAATAACACGTAATAATAGGTAATAATAAGCTCCCTAGAAGCATGAAAAACAAAGTCCACCCCTGACAGTGACATGATAAGATGAGATAACAACTGATAAGAGCTGACGTTTGATGAGCATACACGAGGGTGAGGGAGGGTACAGCTGTTAAGAAAAGATTAGAGGTGATATTTGATGAGCATCGCCCTCACTTTGTTTTCACTGGTACACAAACATGTCTATTTGTCTGTGTCAAGCTCCCCATCTATCTGTCTATCCGTATAGCTCTCTGTCTCAGAAAGCCACAAGACTGCATCGTCATCACGTTTACTCACATCTTCAAGCAGAGTATAGCACTTTGTCTGGATTTTTTGGGCTATCCTAGGTAATTAACACTATGTATTACCTGGAGTTTACCTGGAGAGAGTTCCGGGGGTCAATGCCCCCGCAGCCCAGTCTGTGACCAGGCCTCCTGGTGGATCAAAGCCTGATGAACCAGGCTGTTACTGCTGGCTGCACGCAAACCAACGTATGAGCCACAGCCTGGCTGGTCAGGTACCGACTTTAGGTGCTTGTCCAGTGCCAGTTTGAAGACTGCCAGGGGTCTATTGGTAATCCCCCTTATGTATGCTGGGAGGCAGTTGAACAGTCTCGGACCCTTGACACTTACTGTATGGTCTCTTAACGTCCTAGTGACACCCCTGCTTTTCATTGGGGGGATGTTGCATCGTCTGCCAAGTCTTTTGCTTTCGTTGTGAGTGATTTTCGTGTGCAAGTTCGGTACTAGTCCCTCTAGGATTTTCCAGGTGTACATAATCATGTATCTCTCCCGCCTGCGTTCCAGGGAATACAGGTTCAGGAACTTCAAGCGCTCCCAGTAATTGAGGTGTTTTATCTCTGTTATGTGCGCCGTGAAGGTTCTCTGTACATTTTCTAGGTCAGCAATTTCACCTGCCTTGAAAGGTGCTGTTAGTGTGCAGCAATATTCCAGCCTAGATAGAACAAGAGTGTCATCATTGGCTTGGCATCCCTAGTTTTGAAGGTTCTCATTATCCATTCTGTCATTTTTCTAGCAGCTGCGATTGATACAATGTTATGGTCCCTGAAGGTGAGATCCTCCAACATGATCACTCCCAGGTCTTTGACGTTGGTGTTTCGCTCTATTTTGTGACCAGAATTAGTTTTGTACTCGGATGAAGTTTTAATTTCCTCGTGTTTACCATATCTGAGTAATTGAAATTTCTCATTGTTGAACTTCATATTGTTTTCTGCAGCCCACTGAAAGATTTGGTTGATGTCTGCCTGGAGCCTTGCAGTGTCTGCAATGGAAGACACTGTCATGCAGATTCAGGTGTCATCTGCAAAGGAAGACACGGTGCTGTGGCTGACATCCTTGTCTATGTCAGATATGAGGATGAGAAACAAGATGGGAGCGAGTACTGTGCCTTGTGGAGCAGAGCTTTTCACCGTAGCTGCCTCGGACTTTACTCTGTTGACTACTACTCTTTGTGTTCTGTTTGTGAGGAAATTATAGATCCATCTACCAACTTTTCCTGTTATTCCTTTAGCACGCATTTTGTGCGCTATTATGCCATGGTCACACTTGTCGAAGGCTTTTGCAAAGTCTGTATATAATACATCTGCATTCTTTTTGTCTTCTAGTGCATCTAGGACCTTGTCATAGTGATCCAATAGTTGAGACAGCCAGGAGCGACCCTTGTATTTATGTATACCTGTGAGACAGAGATAGATAGAAAGAGAGACAGATTGAAAGGGATACAGAGACAGATAGACAAAGATAGAGACAGATAGACAGAGACACACAGATAGAGACAGACACAGATAGACAGAGGAAGACAGACAGAGATACAGAGATAGACAGACCCTCTACTTGGGGGTAACATCACTTTCCTCTTAAAAGAGGAGTGTTAATATGACATTACATCAGTGAATCCTTGGTGTTTGCCACACTGCTCTACCTGGCACTCAGTTTAACTGGCGCTCCCACAAGGTACTAAGTGGTCCCAGATTTTTTTAATACCATGCACACTGAGTGTTAGGACCCATTCTATGCTGACAAAGCATCTCAGGCCAATTGTGCCAAATTTGAAGGCAGGAAAAATAAAATGTATATATACGTTTGGGGCACTACGCGTAAGAACGTATATATACGTTTGGACTGTTTAAGGGTTAACACTTGGTGTGCGCAGTATTAACAAATCAGGGACCACTTAGTACCTTATGGGAGCACCAGTTAAACTGAGCCTCAGCTAGAGCAAACAGTGCGGCAAACACCAAGGATTCACTGATGTAATGTCATATTAACACTCCTCTTTTAAGAGGAAAGTGATGTTAACCCCAAGTTTAAGGTCTGTCGATCTCTGTATCTCTGTCTATGTCTTTGTCTATCTGTTTCTATCAGTCTTTATCTATCTGTGTCTGTCTCTGTCTATCTCTTTCAATCTGTCTGTCTATCTCTGTCTCACAGGTATACATAAATGCAAGTATACATAGTGTAAATTACCTAGGATAACCCAAAAAATCCAGACAAAGTGCTATACTCTGCTTGAAGATGTGAGTAAACGTGATGATGCAGTCTTGTAGCTCTCTCTGAGACAGAGAGCTAGACGGATAGACAAATAGACAGGGAGCTTGACAGACAGACAAATAGAGAGACAGACATGTTTGTGTACCAGCGAAAACAAAGCAGGGCGATGCTCATTAAATGTCACCTCTAATCTTTTCTTATCTGCTGCACTCTCCCCCACCCTCGTGTATGCTCATCAAACATCAGCTCATATCAGATGTTATCTCATCTTATCATGTCACTGTCAGGGGTGGACTTTTTTTCATGCTTCACGGGAACTCATTGTTACCTATTATTATTATTACATATTCTTATTCTCCTCCACCACCACCTCCTCCTCCTCCTCCTCTTTCTCCTCCTCTTCCTCTTTCTCATTATTATTATATACTTCCACATATCCAAAACATTGCTGGGACCTATAAATACTTTGTATATATTCCAAGACAACAGTAAATGACCAAGGCAGGTGTAAATGTCCACCTGTCAGTGTGTTTGTGACAATTCTCTTGTATTCATTGTAACTCATCTCATAACCATATGCACTGTTATTGCCTTATTAATCTGAAGTTAATTTTAAGTTTTCCTGAAATGTTCTGTATACAAAGGGGCTTTTGGCATGTACACCCAACTATTATATTCTTTTGTACAAACATATATGTCAAAAATATTATTATTATTATTATTAATATTAACTTGTTATTATGATTACTATTATCAACAAAGTTCTTTGTCTCCAGAGACTCCTCAATGCACCACTTACTTTTTTCCCCCTCGTCAATTCTATGATTTATCTCATCTTTCATAAACCCATCTGCTGACATATCCATCTTAAATATCTGAATACATTCACCTCCTCCATACTCTCTCTCCCTCCTATCTGATATCCAGTCTTTCTACACATAGTTCAATTAACCCTTTGACTGTCGCGGTCGTATATATACGTCATGGGAGATACCGTGTTTGACGTATTTATACGCATAAATTCTAGCGGCTTCAAATCAAGCAGGAGAGGGCTGGTAGGCCTACACGAGAGAGAATGGGTCTCAGTGGTTGGTGTGCACCCTGTGAAAAAAATCTAGGACTCAGCGGTGCATTGTGGGAACGCCTTGTTGGTAGTCCATTTTCACCATGCCTCGCGGTAAGAAGTTCCTCACTCCTCGGTGGATTGGAGGTCTTTTGTTCCCAAGTGATAGCTCAAACAGTGATGATAGTGTCAGTGAAAGTGAATTCCCTGGTTTTGAAGTGGGTGTGACCGAGAAAATTACCCAGGATAATATAATTAGTGATGAAAACCCAGATGACCCACAACCTTCCACCTCTGGTGCTGGGCCGGCTTGTTCATGTTCTCC